CGTCGGGCTACTGCATCTTCATCGGCGACAACCTCGTCTCTTGGTCCTCCAAGCAGCAACAGACCGTCTCCCGGTCCAGCGCGGAGGCGGAATACAGGGCGGTGGCCAATGCTGTGGCCGAGGCGTGCTGGCTGCGTCAACTTCTGCACGAGCTGCGGCGTCCTCCGGATCGGGCAACGATCGTCTACTGCGACAACGTGAGCGCCATGTACCTCTCCACCAACCCTGTGCAGCATCAGCGCACTAAACATATCGAGATCGATCTTCATTTCGTGCGTAAGCAGGTTGCTTTTGGCGATGTACGCGTCCTCCACGTCCCGTCTGCGTCGCAGTTCGCCGATATCTTCACGAAGGGGTTGCCATCGACCGTCTTCCTCGACTTCCGGTCCAGCCTCAACGTGCTCGACGACCCTGTTGTGGCTGCAGGGGGCTGTTGGAAGCCTACCGTTGCTGGCTCAACTAGAGGACCGAGTCCCACATAGTTCATGCACCGGACGTGCCCTCCTTTTCTGTTACACGATGTGCATGGCCTCCTGTATAGTTGGGTCGTTACCAGCCTCTGTACCTGTATATTAACCCCTTCGTGGGCATCAATGAGAATCACCAGTGTATTCATTCTCCATCTCTACTAACAACAAGTCTAGGGCCGGGAGCCTCTTGAACACAACCCTACATACCAGATCTTCTTCAAAAAATTAGCCCACGACCCCCCCAGCGTGTATATTTTCAAACAACAAAAATAGTCAAATATTATCCCTATAACCCCCTCTATTAAATAGGCAACGTGATTGGGGTTCATTAGGACTTCCTCCAATTTCTTAATTGATCGCTGCATTAATTTCCATTGCTTTATTGGGAGGGTCTGGACACTTTTTTGCTTTTAGAGATGGGGGTCTGGACACTTGATCAGATATCTAACACATGCACCCATTGGAAAGATATCTAAGCTAGATACTCCCTCCAGTTCACAAAAGATGGCGTTTTGGAGACTCCTAGGGTCTTTAAATATGTAACTTTGACCGGTCTTTTCTACTTATCATATATGTATAACGATAAAATTATCAGAAAATACTTGTTGACACAAATTTGTGCATATTGTTTTCCAAGTTTGCCAAGGGTGTTGAGAAGAGGCCAGACCCCCTACACTCAATTTTGAAGAGACACTAATTTGTTAGTTATGTTTCTACATTGAACATACTTATGAATTATTCGTCCACTCGAAACCGAATAACAATGCATGATTTCCTCTCTTTCCCCTCATATAGCCAAATCCTGCCTCACCCCAGCATATCAATCAATTAAACATGTGCATAGCCTGGGCGTAGCCATGTTTCGGGTTGAGATTTGTAATTCTGTCCAAAAATGTCTAGCTCAGGCCCAACTTAGCCTACACCAAAGCCAAGACAAATACATATTTTGAATTTAAAATGTTAAATAAATCTATTTTGGATAGTAATTAAGCATTATATCTACTAGAAAACACACTGCTCTTGGGTTGTGGATGCCCAGGTTTACAATCAACTCGTTCATTAGTCCCTCTGTTTCATATTACTTCACATATTAGTTTTATCTTAGATCAAACTTTGTGAGGTTTGAGCAAATTAATAGACAAAATATCAGTATGGACCCGAGTGTATTATATTATATTTTTCATGGTTGATGTTACATACGTTATCACCTACTATATCCCAGCCCATGATGTAGGTAGTAGTTAGACGGACAAAGTTAGGAGTTAGACTTCAAACCATTGCATGGTTCATGATAATCGACATGTTAATTTGTCTCGTTCAACCCGCAAACACACTGGAGTACTACTACAGTAGCAGCATGGACCGGTCATATTGATTCATTTCTAGACCGCGTCAAAGATGAATAAAAATACAACTCTCCTGCTACGATCTGGTCCCAGGTTGCATTGAACTAGTCGCAGCTAACCTTGAAAAGGTTAACCAACCAATTCTCCCCGCTTGTACCCCAGTCACTGAATTATCCTTCAATGCATTGGGTAAGAGGTTCTCTGTAAATTTGTACTCCTGCATAATTTATCCTTCCACTGTTCATCACTAGGTACTTCTTGACCTACTGAGGAAATTTTCATACAAACAGGTCAAAAGAGAAATAAAACGGTATTCAAATGGGTGGCACAAATGCCACCAACCCAACACCGAGCATACATGAAACGTCACCTGTAACTAGATACAACCGAGACTAGAGCCACACCACCTTGAGAAATCACCGGACACCGAAGTATCGAACACGCCGAGTCGTCTCTGAAGGGGGCGACTCGCCATTGAGACCACCCCTCGCTTCGTGCCGTGGAGCACCGATCCTGCCATGAGATAGCAAGGATCAAGAACCGATACCACGGGGACACGTGCACTTGTCCACCTACTTTGATAGATGGATGATTAGTCCTTGTATTATACAGCTCACCAAACATCCCCCATGAGGAAACATGTTACTACTTAATTTTGCATGTTCTTTGCTTCGTGTTGTTTGTCAAGGACACACTAGCTTATGCATTATCCAAACAGTCAGGAAATCGGTATTGGTGAATTTTTGTACTATTCTGATGCTCATCAGTACTTGTTGACCTACCCCTTTCCGGTTTATAGAGTTTATCTCAAAATTTTAGTTTTCCGTTTATAAGACTCCGTTTAGTTGTTCTCCATCACATGTTCAAATTCTAAGGTACATTAAATCATTGCATGCAAGTATTAAGAGAAAATTGACCAATGCATGTACTTTATGCATGCATGCATTGCAAGTAAGGCTAGTCATAGTGGGAGTAACTTAGGTAGTAACATAGCGTACTTTAAAAAAAATTGCTTATGTGGCATGTAGTTAATAAGGAGAGAGGTGCTTAGAGTAACATAATATGTTACTGTAACATAGCACTTCCCGAAAAAGGATGAGTCTACAAGCTAATAAATGAAGACATCTATGACACTACTACTTTGTTACTTTGCACTATGAAGGTAGTAACTTAGACTAGTGTCATATGTATGACACTACTCCCTCCTTCCATCTATATAGGGCCTAATGTGTTTTTTAAGACCGCCTTTGACTATTGACAAGATTAATAGTATATGACATGCACAATGTGAAAATTATATCATTGAAAGCTCTTTTCACATACGAATTTAACGGTGTGCTTTGTGTAAGTTGCATGTCATATATTATTGCTCTAATATTTGGTCAAAGTTAGCCTCAAAAAACGCATTAGACCCTATATAGATGGAAAAAGGGAGTAGTATAAGTTACTCTCCACTATGACCAGCCTAATGCATTGTTAAACACATTTTTTTTTAAAAACAAGCGCATTAATTGAGTATTTTTGCAGTAGTACAGAAATTATTTCACCACTCACGCATTAATTGAGTACTAGGCGACTCAATTTGAACCAGGGCAAGCAAGCAAAAGTAGGTACGGTAGTATTAATCCTTGCATTATTATTTAGCTGACCAAACACCTCCCATCAGAAAATATATTATGTGCTTCTCATTGGTTGTCAAGGACACGCTAGCTTTTCTGCATTATCCAGAAAAAGATGAAAATTAATAAATAACATGTGTTGGTAAATCTTCAGAGTGCCCCTACTCTTTTTTTCCTCCTAATGTTCAGTACTACCTCCGTCTAGGTGAATAAGTCATTCGCGTAGTTCTAGGTCATCGATTTAAGCAATTAAATATGTGTTATATGTCATGAAAAGTATATCACTAGATTTCTACACGAATGTAGTTTCTAAATATATATTTTTTGTCGCATATAATACATATTTAGATAGTTAAATCGTCAACCTAGAACTACACGAATGACTTATTCACCGAGACGGAGGTAGTACTTGTTGACCTACTGGAGCTGGACGACTCGCCTGAGAGTCTTACTTGTCCACACTTGTCTGGCCAAAATCTCCAACTAATCAGAATATAGGCTGAAAAATCATAAATAAAAACCCAGTCCAACCTTAGTAATAACCCATGTTGGTGAATCCATAGTATTTATGATAAATATAGGACCCCTTTTGCCTGGGGGATGGTATTTGCGAATGTTTTTTATGACAAATCCTTCATAGCACACACGGTAATTTCTTTAGAAAAACATGGCAAGCCTGTCAAACAAAATGATTTTGCTGTGAAGATTGTTGCGTTCGCTTGAAGGAATTGTCATATTGCTGCAATATAAAATGCCACGAAAAACGTTCGTTCTGCCATATCTCCGTAAATATATTAGCAGTACTGCAAAAAGTAGTACTAGAGTGTTGGTGGAACTTTAATTAACTAACTAACTAGTGTGCTGTTCTCAAAAAAAAAAAAACTATGTGCTGCTGCTACTTTACTGCATTACTTTGACTATGGCGCTCACCTCCGGTTTCGCTGGAAAAGCAGGTTGTGGTTGGGAAGCACAAGCGTGTTGCCCTTGCTAATTACGTGCACTCAATAGCGAGCCAGCCACCCCTGTCCTGTGTGTAGCTCGTAGACTTAAAAAGTCTCTAGTCTCTAAAAAGTCTCTTTCTGTTTGTTTTCAGAGACTAAAAAATCTCTAGTCCCTTCATAGAGGTTATTAAATGACCATCTTGCCCCTAGTATATAGAAAAATAACAATTAAACAACACCATGGGGTGGTGGGTCAATGGGTGCATGGAGGGGCATTGTTGGAAAAGTCCCAAAAAGTCTCAAAAAGACTCTTCTTGAGAGTCTTCTTCATTTAGTCACAAATGCCTAGTTTAGTCCCTAAAAAGTCCCTACCGTTTGGTAAAAAAGTTTTTAAGAGGGACTTTTTTTAGTCCCTACACAAAAAAGTCCCTGAAAACAAACACCCACTACGCCACCCTCAACACCTTGCTGGCCGGCCCTGCGCGTGTATAAGTAGTGGGTGCCGGAGCACACAAGCCTCACACACCAAGCACACGCCTCTCTTCCTCCTCCATCTCTCATTCCCTGGTCTCTGTCCTCTCCTCCCGAGCTTCACAGTTCACACACACACAAAACCAAGGCAAGATGGTGGGCACGCTGGATGAGGGGAAGATCATCGAGTACTTCAGGAACAAGAGCGTCCTCATCACCGGAGCCACGGGCTTCCTTGGCAAGAGTAAGTAGGCATGCTGATGATGATCTATGCATGTCTTGCTATTTTCTGAGGAACAGTTCATGCATCCATCCTGAGAGTCCTTGGTGTTGCGTTGTGTGCTCATTCGTCGACCTGTGCAGTAATGGTGGAGAAGATCCTGAGGGTCCAGCCGGACGTGAAGAGGATCTACCTGCCGGTGCGGGCGGCCGACGCCGCGGCGGCGAGGCGCCGGGTGGAGACCGAGGTGCGTGCCTGTCTGCCCGTCCATCATGCCCCATCATCATGTTGATCCTTGCACCCCCTCCCTCAATCTCTCTCTCAGTACTCCTCTCAATACTCCGCTGTTCTAGAGATTAGAGTAGTAGACAAGGATACATGCCGGTAGCATGGTTCTTGGTAAGATCATGCTGCAAGGAACACATGCGAGTTCTCTCTCAGACAGAGAAGCCCCCAAGCTGCTCCCCTGTGTCTCTTCATTCTGTTTCATACTTACAACTCTCTCTTTTTTCCATTTATAATTAATACTGTACTATAATACTAGTAACATTATGTGGCGCATCGGAACAAAACATGCATAGATATCACAAATTCATCACAGAATCATAGATAGTCCAGCTGCCCGCTGCTACTATCTGTGATGCAAACATGAACATGTGTAGAATAATTATCTTATAGGTATAAACCGGGATTAGATAGGGCTAGGTGCACACTGTTGGGTGGCATTCCTGCCGAACATTCGGGTCGGTCACATGCCATTTTTTCTTCTCTTTCTGAGGTTGAGAGTGACATGGCATACTCTGCATGAGAGGTGGCCATGAATAATCTCAGCTGTACACCGCTCATTCTTCTCTAGATACTAGGTAAATGCACAAATATTCTGCCAGCTTTTGGTATGGCAGGATTAATTTGAACAAGAAACCAGACACTAGTAGGAGTATGGTTGGCAAAAATTTCAACATTTTCATTCATGCCCGATCTTGGAAACCGGAAACCTGGGGAAAACCCGCGGCAGGATGATAAATAAACCGGCGGCGAAGTAGCGGAGCTGAGTGTATTCCTAGGAGTCGTATGAGGAGTTATTGTGTGTGTAGGCCGGTAGGTTTGGTCAGGTCGACTCGACTCAGAAGTTTTCAATGGCCTCTGCCGCATGCAGTGCACAACTGGTACTGCACCACCACCTAGCTAGCCGGCCAGTGTGCAGCCTGCATGCATGCATGGCTGGCTGGCTGGTGCTTGGAAATGACGAGGGCAGGGCACCATCTGGCACTGGCACCACTTACTACAGCTTCGTCAACTTGAGAATTCAGAATTCAGAGTGCACTGCAAGTCTGCAATAATGTTTTGGTTGCCTGATTGCATCAAATTCTAACTAAACCTAGCATGTTCAACAATAAACATAAATAAATGCAATAATGTTTTGGTTACCTAATTACGTTCTATTATTGCGTCTGCAAAAAAGAAAAGAGTGTAATCTACTCTAGCTGGTGTAGTTATTGAGTAGTGCCAAGAAGATCCAGAGCAGAGACAATGGGCAGTACGCTTGGTCCTCCACCTTACTCCTACTCCATCTAGCAAGCCGGAAAAACACGCTTCCAGTACGCCTGGCCCCTCTTCATTTCTTCATATGCATTCACTGATCCTTCATTGTATAGGTGTGGGCAATTTACAGTTGCAGACAGTTGCACGGGTCGATTGTCCTGCCCTGCAGAAGCAATTTATAGTTTTTACCAAAAGTTACCGAGATACCATGCGGGGTGGTGGATCCACAGTGCATGCATGCATGTATCAAACACGGATTGCAAATGAAGAATTATTGATCGAGATCGACGTGGTTCGCAGGTGGTGGGGAAGGAGCTGTTCGGGATGCTGCGGGAGCGGCACGGCGCCGGGTTCGATGCCTTCGTCGCAGACAAGGTGGTGGGGCTGGCCGGCGACGTAATGCGCGAGGGCTTCGGCGTCGACCCCGCCACGCTGCGGGAGCTCCGGCTCGCCGACGAGCTCAACGTCATTGTCAACGGGGCCGCCACAACCAACTTCTACGAAAGGTACAGTACTATTTACTGTTTAACTCGTCAGAGAAAAAAATTCAGCGGGAGAACGTGCATTCCTGCATCTTCTTCTCTGGAGTAGTGAGTTCATCAATGACCTCTGAAACTAACTGTGCAATGTACGTGCACGGACGTGTGTGTGCTCAGGTACGACGTGGCCCTGGACGTGAACGTGGTGGGGGTGAAGCACATGTGCGACTTCGCCCGGAAATGCCCCAACCTCGAGGTGCTCATGCACGTCTCCACGGCCTACGTCGCCGGCGAGAAGCAGGGGTTGGTGTCGGAGAGGCCGTTCAGGGACGGCGAGACGCTGCGGGAGGACGGCACCCGCCTTGACATCGACGCCGAGCTGAGGCTCGCCAGGGAACTCAGGAAGCAGATGGAGGCCGACGACGATGTGGACCCCAAGGCCCAGAGGAAGGCCATGAAGGACCTCGGCCTCACCAGGTTAGGAAGCATATTTCCCTTTGAAAGTTTCTCCTACTATGTGAAATTCAAGTTCAATACCAGAGGTTTTTTTTGTGAAACTTGGAACTGAAATTCAGAAATGGGATTAATTTTGGAATTCTGGTGTGTGCAGGGCCCGGCACTTTGGGTGGCCCAACACGTACGTGTTCACCAAGTCCATGGGGGAGATGATGCTGGCCCAGATGATGCCCGGGGGCGACGTGCCGGTGGTCATCGTCCGGCCCAGCATCATCACCAGCGTGCAAAACGACCCACTGCCAGGATGGATCGAAGGCACCAGGTTCGTTCTAACTCTTCCCATCCAAATTCAAATGCCAAGTTTCAAATTCATATTCTGACATCGAATATGAAAACCCCAGGACGATCGACGCGATCCTGATCGGGTACGCAAAACAGAGCCTGTCGTGCTTCCTCGCCGACCTCGACCTAACCATGGACGTGGTAATTGCTTCACTCACTGTTAGTTCATTCAGCAAATGCAGAGCTATCAGTGCTACCATCTTCTTGCGAACGTGCTGCAGTAATGAGTAATAAGTATACTAGTACAGTGTGTGACCATGCTGCAGTAAGTTGCATCTGAAGCGTCTGTGCCAACAAGGCCAAGTGGCTGCTGCAGTGCATCAACCAACCTTAGCTGTACTTGGCTGCGTGCAGTTACTATCTGAATCTTGCCTGTTACAGCAAGGTTACATATGCTGCTAATGGATTATCACAGTTTCTAACCCAAATGCGCAACTATGGTGTATGCAGATGCCCGGCGATATGGTGGTGAACGCGATGATGGCGGCCACGGTGGCGCACGCCTCCTCCACTCGGCCATCAGAGCCAGAGAAGAAGCCGCCTCCGCAGCAGCAGCACCCTCACTCGGTGCCGGCAGCGCCAACGGTGTACCACGTGAGCTCGTCGCTGCGGCACCCAGCTCCGTACGCGGTGTTGTACCGGACAGGGATCCGGTACTTCGAGGAGCACCCACGGGTGGGGCCTGACGGCCGCACCGTGCGCACCCGCAAGGTGCGGTTCCTTGGCAGCATCGCGGCGTTCCACCTCTTCATGGTGCTCAAGTACCGTGTTCCCCTCGAGCTCCTCCGCCTGCTCTCCATCCTCTGTTGCGGCCTCTTCGGCCTTGCTGCCCTTTACGACGACCTCGCCCGCAAGTACAGGTATTTTCTCTGTCTGGAATTAGCTGACGCTCAAACGGATGTATCTACAGGGAGTGTAATTTAAACATGTTTGCAGTTGTATGGTCTTGATATTATACCATTGGCTTAAGAACATGCATTGTGCAGGTTCGTGATGCAGCTGGTGGACCTGTACGGGCCCTTCTCGCTCTTCAAGGGTTGTTTCGATGATGTCAACCTCAACAAGCTTAGGCTCGCCATGGCCGACGGTGACCATGCCGATGCCACCGGCTGTCTATTCAACTTTGACCCCAAGACCGTTGACTGGGACGACTACTTCTTCAAGGTCCACATCCCTGGTGTCATGAAGTACGTCCTCAAGTGATGCACATTTGCTCCGATCTGCTTCCACATACCTACCAAGAAAGAATGGAGGAAAACAAATGAATGCTAGTCTGTGTCCATCATGTGTAATCTCGTTCTTAAGTCTGCGGTATTATTGTATGAGTATTGATTGTACTGCCATTGGAAATTTAACCAATGACTATGAGTATAAGATAAAATTACTTGCATTCTAGCCGGGTCCTCTGAAATGACAAGGTTCCTATGGAATTATGTTGGGAATTTTCTACTTTTCACAGTACTACCAAAAAACACATCCTCCAAATGTGCATAGGTTTTCCCTCAAAAAAATATGCATAGGTTTATTTACCATATGTGCATAGGTACATATGTTGCGTATGCGCAGAATAAAATGTGATTTAAAGCGACTGCACATCCCGGCCTCCCTTGGGCCTTGACCTATTTATCTTTTCTTCACCTTGCTCCGCACCGCTATGGGTGGTTTTTATTCTGGTTGGTTTCCAGGGTTTCATGACTTTCCATGAGTACAGGCTGTCTTACCTTTTTTTATCTGGTTTTGGTTTATATACTATTTTCAGATTTCAATTTTGCTATGTTCACTGGTTTCTCTGTCTTTTTTATTCTACTAAATATTTTCTATTTTCTTTCGTGTTTACTTTACTTCTTTTTCTCCATCTAGAATACCTTTGATTTTCCATTTCAATTATTTCATTCATGCATTTTCTTAGAAAATATATTATTTATTTTTAAATTCCTGATCATTCCTAAAAATTTAAACAAAAATAAAAAATAGCTAACATTTTTTAATCAAATATTTTTTTATTCATGAATGTTTTAAAAAATATGGATTTTCTTAATTCCAAGATTGTTTCAAAAAAACCTCGTGATTTTAGAAAAAAATCATTAATATATTTCAAATGCCTGAACATGTATAAAAGTCACAAACATTATGTAAATCTTGTGAACTTTTTTTTGAATCCATGAAAAGTTTAAATATATGAAAACCTATTTTTAAGCAACCAGCAGCAAGGGGTTTTTCCGAAGCGAACAACAACGGCTGGTTTTCTCGAGAAGCGAACACCAACGGCTGGTTTTCTCGAGAAGCGAACAGTAGAAAGCAGTTTCTCAAAGCAAAAAAAATGTGGTTTACCGCCTATTATATGCATCCAAACCTCATCAGCGAAGCACTGGCTTTTCACCATGATCGATTCACTATCGCATGAAAAATCTTACTATCATGTGTGTAACACATTGGTCCATATGGCATGCAAAGCGAAAGTTAATTCATTAAGAAATTTACCAAAGTTTGCATCCACTTTTTGCCTTTGTTCGAAGTTTCCTTGATAAACTTCGTCTATGTACCAAAGAGGTGAAGGCTACTAGCCATGCTCGGACTACACTAGTGCATCAAGGTCGGCCGCCGCCTCCGACGGGATATGCGAAGATTAATGCGGATGCCACGGTGGGGAAGAATCAACGAGTGAGAAGCATCAATGCGATGGCACGAGATGAACATGACCATTACCTGGGATCTTCGACACCGGTTATCTCTGACATCAATGACCCGAAGGTTCTTGAGACGATGGCATGCAGGCAATCACTCGCCATACCGCCCTGCCAGCTGACCTTACGCTACAACGGATGTTCATAGCCAGCGATTGTCTCGCGGTCATATCCAACCTGGAGGGTCCTGCTTCGGACACTATGGGCAGATAATCAAGGAATTCAACTCTCAGGCGGCAGAAATTTCCCCTTTCATTTTTTTTCATTTTGGGTTTCTCTTCTCACTTTTTTTAATTTTCTGTTAACTTTTCTGTTTAATTTTTACTTCTTTCTGTCGTTTTTCCTTCCCTTTTTTGTCATTCATTTCATTTTTACATTTATTTTTACAGATTTTTTTTAAAGAAATCTGATAAAATACAAGAACAATGTTGTATGCACGCACACTTTCCTTAAATAACACAAACATTTTTTCCCAAGAGACATGAAACATTTTTATTATTAATGTGAATAATTTTAAAATGCACTAACAATTTTAAATTAAATAAATACATGAACACCTTTTCAAATGACGCAAAAATTAAAAATACATGGATAACTACCTAAAACTACATTAATATATTTTTAAAAATACATGATTTTTTAAATTATATGAATGTTTTTAAAAGGTACAGGAACACTTTTCACATTAAAATTTTGAATGTGTGGATACTTCTATAATTAACCAACTATATTTAGAAACTACATTAACAATTTTGTATATGAGATCCAATGATAATAGTCGCATCACATGCAAATTTGGAGAAAATACCCTCGAGAGTCTGTAAATACACGCGGGTTGAGAGCTCTGGTCCCGACTGTAGAATCACAGATCCATAGTCGTTTCAGCTCCTCGTTGTTGAGTTCTAGAAGCCGTTTTAGACCAGAGATTTTGGGGTGTGATTGAACCCGAAAAATAAAAAACTTAATAGGCCTACTAAAATTATATTGTTTTTTTATTTATATCAAACTATTTTACGTCATCACGGCTCAGTTGGTTGCTAAAATATTCTGCCATTATCGATATGTATTATATACTTTATTTATTTATATAACAAGCTACATCAATTAGCGTCTATATTATGGTGCGAATTTGTTGTACAGTTTCATATTTATTATCGCAAGTGCCTTCCTGGTAGTGCTAAATGAAAAAATTGTACTTTTTGCAATAAAAATATATTATTGTATAAGAAATATATGTTTCACATGGGTTCCACCGTAAATTCGAGCAATCTAGTAATTTTGCATTATTTCACATATTTACTATCCCCATGATGTTTATAATCGTTTGTGTATCAGTTTTCCAGGGGATCAATACGGTATAGTCATTTTAAAGTATATGGAGCGGTCAAATAAACTGCTAGAGATGCCTAGTCTTTTTCTATCAGTAGAGATATCTGGAGTTCGTGATTATGAAGTTTAGGTGTCCTTAAAAGGATTTGTAAAAAATGAACAAAGGGTCAATCGAGTCTCAAACGTCAATTGCCACAGATCTGATATCCCACGCCATTTTTGAAAATTGCAAACATTTTTTTCAAAAGGGAAACTTTTTGAGAAAAAAAGTTAAAAAGGAAAGAAAATTGGTAAAAGAAACATAATGTTGCAACCAAAATACCCTAGCATTTTGCAATCAAAACTTGAAAAGTTTTGCTTTTATTACAAACAAAGACAAAATTTTGACTAGTCATGTCGATTTTTGCTAGAAAGTTCGGAGCGTAACATGTTGTAAGAATCCAAATCAACAAGAATGATGATGTGTTGTTCATTCCAAAATTCATTCATGCACTCCATGTCAGCCATGAACACTTCGTACACTCACATTACAGCAAACAGATCATAGTCGTTCCACCGAGGTCACACCATGGTGAACAAGGGGGAGGGGGCAGAATCATACCACCACGAAATGTTCTCAAAATAGACACTATGATGCATGTGTTGGGAAACATAGCATGCAATTTCAAAAAAAAATCCTACGCTCACACAAAATCTATCTAGGAGATGCATAGCAATGAGAGGGGGAGAGTGTGTCCACGTATCCTCGTAGATCGAAATAGGAAGCGTTTGACAACACGGTTGATGTAGTCGAACTTCTTCTCGTTCCGACCGATCAAGCACCGAATGTACGGCACCTCCGAGTTCTGCACACGTTCAACTCGATGACGTCCCTCAAACTCTTGATCCAGCAAAGTGTCGAGGGAGAGTTTACGTCAGCACGACGGCGTGGTGACGGTGATGGTGAAGTGATCCGCACCCCATTCCGGTGACCCCTTCCGGTGTAGTTTGTCGGCGGTTGCTACCTTTTGAGCACTGCGTTGGTTTTCCCCGAAGAGGAAGGGATGATGCAGCAAAGTAGCGTAAGTATTTCCCTCAGTTTTTTAGAACCAAGGTATCAATCCAGTAGGAGGCTATGCGTGAGTCCCTCGTACCTGCACAAAACAAATAAATCCTTGCAACCAATGCAAATAGGGGTTGTCAATCCCTATAAGGCCACTTACGAGAGTGAGATCCGATAGATATGATAAGATAATATTTTTGGTATTTTTATGATAAAGATGCAACGTAAAATAAAAGCAAAGTAAATAGTAAAGGAAATAACTAAGTAGTAGGAGATCAATATGATAAAGATAGACCCGGGGGCCATAGGTTTCACTAGTGGCTTCTCTCAAGAGCATAAGTATTCTACGATGGGTGAACAAATTACCGTTGAGCAATTGACAGAATTGAGCATAGTTATGAGAATATCTAGGTATAATCATGTATATAGGCATCACGTCCGAGACAAGTAGACCGACTCCTACCTGCATCTACTACTATTACTCCACTCATCGACCGCTATCCAGCATGCATCTAGAGTATTAAGTTAAAAACAGAGTAACGCCTTAAGCAAGATGACATGATGCAGAGGGATAGACTCATGCAATATGAAGAAAACCCCATCTTGTTATCCTCGATGGCAACAATACAATACGTGCCTTGCTGCCCCTACTGTCACTGGGAAAGGACACCGCAAGATCGAACCCAAAGCTAAGCACTTCTCCCATTGCAAGAAAGATCAATCTAGTAGGCCAAACCAAATTGATAATTCGAAGAGACTTGCAAAGATAACCAATCATACATAAAAGAATTCAGAGAAGATTCAAATATTATTCATAGATAGACTTGATCATAAACCCACAATTCATCGGTCTCAACAAACACACCGCAAAAAAAAGATTACATCAAATAGTTCTCCACAAGAGAGGGGGAGAACATTGTATTGAGATCCAAAAAGAGAGAAGAAGCCATCTAGCTACTAACTATGGACCCATAGGTCTGAGGTAAACTACTCACACTTCATCGGAGGGGCTATGGTGTTGACGTAGAAGCCCTTCGTGATCGATGCCCCCTCCGGCGGAACTCCGGAACAGGCCCCAAGATGGGATCTCGTGGATACAGAAAGTTACGGCGGTGGAATTAGGGTTTTGGCTCCTGTAAGGCCCGGAT